ACACACACACACACACACACACACATACACACACACACACACAAATACAGAGAGTTATTATTAATTATGAAAGCTTGGCCTATAGCTTAGGCTCACCCCAGTAGCTCTTATAACTTAAATTAACCCATTTATATTAATCTACATTTTGCCTTGTGGCATTTTACCTTTCTCCCATCTTGCATCTCCTGTTTCCTTTCTGTGTTCTCTTTCATTTCTCCCTCACCTAGATTTATCTCCTTCTCTATCTCCGTCTGCCTGAAAGTCCCACCTAACCTCTTCCTGCCTAGCTATTGACCATTCGGCTCTTTATTAAATCAATCAGAAGGCGCCGTGACAGAGACACATCTTTACAGTGTACAAAAAGTTATTCCACAACAGTGCTGAGCGTCATTAGATGTGCCCTGCCCATTCATGGCCTTCGCTGGAGCATAGGAATTGTAGACAAGTCTAGTGAGGGATCTCAAACAGGAGCCTCAGAGGTGGGATTCAGCACTTTCCTGCCTAGGCCACAGGTGGTAGTGCATCATTAGCCAATAGTTTATTTGTACACTGTTGGTCCCTGCTTCATCCCTTAGAATGTGGCTTCTTATTGCTATAACTCAACCAACTTTTCACGGGGTCAGCCCATATTCTACTCCCTTCCTAGAGTCTGGGCTGAGATGTGAAGTATCCAGACCTGGGATTCCTTCAAATAATCCCTGCTCATCTTTACGGTCTACTATGACCTTTGGGGTATCCCTCATTGATCTCATGTGAAGCCATATTTAGCTACTGGATTTCTGCTATCAGGGGTATTAGCCCTATGAGTTTTACTTCAAGTCTAATTCCTAGCTTATCTTTCTAACATTACCTGCCCCCAAAAGATGTCAGTCACCACTTCTCTCTAACCATGTCTCATTTTACCCCCTTTACAGTAGTAAGTGGATTCTCCTTTGCCTCTCTGTCTTTTGAGAAATCTTTCCTCCTGTACCTTCCTCTGAGGCTACCTCTGGGCAGGTTTCTTGAGACATCCTACAAATCAGAGGGACTCTGATGACAGCCAAGTGCCCTTTGTATGTCTGATTGCCATTCTGGTGGGCATGAGATAAAAGGTATTTCCTTCCCAAAGTGGAGTGGTCTCCTTGGTCTGATGAGAAGAAGGGGTGACTGAATGATTATAGAGGGGACTTCGTTCAGAGCCTTTTCTGTGAACCACCTGCTCCTGCACAACCCAAGAAATAAGGGTCCCCATTCAAGAGATGCTAGCCAGCCTCAAAGCCCTCTGCTGTATCCCCAGCACCCTTTCAGGATGATGGTTCTGTGTCTCTGATTCTCAGGGCTCTCGAATTTTATTTTTCTCTCTTAAAATTTCTAATGCCTGGCTATAGAACTGGTTCTTTTAGCCAAACCTTTATCAAAGTTTTATCTCAAGGCGCCCCAAGAGGTGCGTAGCTCAGAGCCTAGGACATTCAGACATGGCCCTGCTGTCAGAGTTGTCTCTGTCCCTGAGGATTTCCATGGAAGATACTCTGAAAACTCTTTATCCAGACCGTGACCCCTGTTTTGCCTGGCCCTGCCTGGCCTTGAACTTCTGCAAAGCTAAGCCTCTAACTACACCTGGCCCTTTCCCAGGACTGGTTCCTTGGTACATGAGTCATTTAAGGAGCTTACTACTCAAGATCCAAAGTTTCCCTGGCCATCACTTGGCTGACTGTGATAGCAGACTGTAATCTAACACAGGGCTTCTCCAGTAACCCCAGCCTCATTAATGTAGACACATCATCCAGCACACATTGCTAACAGTGATTGGTATAGCTTTTCTAGGCATGAAGGAGTCACACAAGCTGTTCTTCCTATTTCTTTCCAGTGACACCAAATACCTAGCACTCTGGGCCATCCCTAATCAGGTATTCTCTTAGCTAAGTCCTTCCTTTCAGCCCCGTTCTGCTGAGACCACCTATTCTACCACACACCCACCTAGCCCAGGGGTCTGCAGACATGGTCTAGAAAGGGCCAGATGGCAAGGGTTATCATGAGAGCTATGTAGTGTCTGTCCTCACTGCTCAGGTCTGTCTGAACTAGAAGACTGGCAGTGTGTAAATGAGAGTAGAACTGCATTTCTGTTCAACTTCATGTGCCAGCAGGAGGCCACCCATGCTCTGAACCCTCAGCTTTCTGTCTGATTGCCTCCTTGCCTATCTGGATCTCCCCAGTGCACTGCCTCCCCATAGTCCCTCAGGGGGCAGAGACTTCACTCTACGGGAGGTTTAGGAGGGAGTTCTTGTTTCTACCTTCAGATTATGCCTTCTTATCTTTTGTTATTTGTGTCATCAGACTCTGCACCCTCTCCTTGTTGCAAACCTCTTCTCACCTGTGAGTCCCTCTTCTTTGTCTAAGAAGGCACAGGCCACACTAGTTCTCCTTAATACTCACTTGCCATCATGCCTCTCACTTGTCAACTTCTGGGGACTGTCTTCCACAGGGATCCTGATGCCCACCCTATGCTCTGTCTATAGCTAGTTTCTCTGTCGTGACTAATAAAATACCCTCCCCATGTTAGAGTGTCACCTCGCATGCTTCTCCTAACGTCACCTTCTCCCTGCAGCTTCTGCCCTCAAGTACCATGACTTCACCCCGCTGCCGTCTGTATGTACCCTTTCCTCCTCCACACCTGTCCTTTTCATCTGCCAATCAACTTAGGGCCACTCTCCATCATTACAATCACACTAGCATGGACCCTTGGCTTACTCACTCTTGTCTTTGTTTAACTTGTTCGCCTGGAGAAAACACCTCCCCAGATCCCATCCAACTACATGGAAATTTTGGCACCTGAACAGAAATACATAAAACTAAGGACAGTTCCACTCATGACCACCAAGGCCAAATTGGCCTTTGGTGACACCCAACAATCCTTCCTCATGTCCCTACTCTTGCTCCATCCCCTCTTCACAACCCTCTTCAAATTTCCAGTATGCCTCTCCCTTCAGGTTTCCAGATGGTACCCTGGGAAAGACTTTCCCCAAGGAAAGTGAAAACAGAAGAGGGCTTTCCTGTATCTCCATACCACATCTACGACCTTATAACGTACCCCTCTGGGTCTCTGAGAGAAAAGCTGGCACCCAGCAGGCCTTTTCCTCCCTCTCCACCAGATGGTGTGTTAGCTTTTGTGCAACTGAACTTGGCCCCATATAAAGCCAACATCATCAGGGTACCACAAACCCATCCATCCCTCCCTGCCTTCCAAAGAATGCGAGTTTTCCCCAATCTGTATCACCAGTTTTTTCATCAGAGGACTCTCATATCACACACAACTCTCATACCACACCTACTTTTGTTTTTCTCTGCTCACATTTGCAAGGAGTTCCAAAGAGTTGCTATATACTAACCTTTAGTCATATGCAGCCACAGCACCTGAAACTGAGGGGTACTGTAATGTAAAAACATGTAACATATTTTAAAAATTGAATATAAAACAAAGGATGACAAATATCTCATTGTTTTCACTCCATGTTTAGATGCTGTTTTGATGGTGTTGGTTCAGATGAAATATGTCTCCATAGTTAGTTTCACCTTCTTTTACTTTATTATCATGGCTGCCTGGAAGGTTGCTCACTTGGCTGACATTGGACTTGCTTGTGTTTCTTTCAGGCAGGGCTTGCTGTCCTCTCTGGCTCCAGCTTTTGCCACTCTCTCCAGGGCCTCTCTACTAGGCCGTCTCCCACTACTCCCCACATCAGCTGTTTTCTGTGTTTCAGTGGCCTTGGTTGTGCTAAATGAAGTAGTACTTTCCCATGCGTGTCTTCAGCTCTTGACAGTTGACCATGGACACCCTGCTTTCCACAGTCTCCGTGGAGCACCAGGTCTCCTGCCCACAAACCACTCCTCTTTGCTCTCCTTTGATTTGTTCTCCGATTGCCTGCATAGTGTGGGAGGACCCTGTGGTCCAGTCCTTTCACATGCAGCTTCCAAACAGACCTCATAGTGTCCAACCATAAATACACCGTGTTCAGAAAACAGTTTTGTCTCTTTCCTAGACCTTCTTCTGACCTCCAGACACATAACACCCTCTCAGAAGACCATCAGACATACCCCGGTCAGCCCAGACTTGGAGAAGGTGGCAGTGGAATGTGGATGCCTGTACTGCCACATCCCGTCCTTCCTATTGCTCCAGCCCAGCTGTTTGAGTCACATCTTGTTCCTGTCACTTCACACTTCCCAACTAGTCCAACAGCCAGTCCTACTAGCTCCATCTTAAAAATAAACCCAGTATCTGATGCTCGACATCTCCAAAATTACCACCTGGCCTGAGCCCCAGCCTCTGTCACTGGGCCACTGCTGACACCACTGGACTTAGTTAGATTTCAGTCAGACTGGGTCCCTTTCCTGCCCACGTTCCTGTGGGCCCTCCTTCCTATCCAATTTCAGCTTCCTTCTGTCTTCTCTGTCCTAGTTGTCCTGGCAGTTTGTTGGCCCCTGACATCTCACCTTGCATCTCCCAGGGTCACTGTCCCAACCACTTCGCCTCCTGGTTCCCAGACAGCTGCCAGGCCACACACTCACTTTCTTTCAGCCTCTTGTAAAATGTCACCAGAGCAGTGATTTTTTTCCTGAGCTGTCCCCTATGCAAAAGCTGGTCTCTCACCATTGTCACTACAGACCCCTCTTTTCCCCAAGTGACATACTCTGCAACGTCTCCTTACTGACAGCTCAGATCCTGACTGCCCCTAGAGATGTAAACATCTCTTCTGCTCCAACCTAAGTATCTAGCACAGTGCCTGCACACAGTAGGTGCTTGTGTTTATTAGAGATGTGTGCTCACAGACACATTGTCATAGCAGAAGTCTGTGCATTTTAACATGGTGCCTTCACATGTAGGTGGGTCCAAGCTCTCCCGATGACCCCTGTAGCCATCCATTCATTTATAGCTCCTCAGTGGCAGCTATGTGCGCAAGTGGGGTGATTTCTAAGGTTTTTTTCCCCTGAAACAAATCACACCAGGGTGGTCACCAGGATGGAGGAGCAGGCAGGGAGTTGGTGGTTCCCAGCACTAATGGCAGGGAAACAGGGAAGCTGGATTCCACAGCAGTGATGACAGCACCCAAGAGAGAGGGTAGACTTCCCTGCTTTATCCCTGTGCCTTGGCAGCTGTGCCAGGACCCTAGCTCACCCAGACCAAGTACACCAACACGCCCTGACAGTTAAGATCCCAGCGTCTCTGCGGGAAGTGTCCCCTCTCCATGTGTGTGATACACTGGCTGATAGAATGTCAACTTGTAGCCTTTTATGGGCCTCCAGTGGCCACACCTGTGGCAGACCCCAGCAGTCTAGGCTGTGTGCTTGGATTGGAGCCCAGCTGAGCAACCAGCTGAGGTCCTGATGGCTCCTCTCTCCCCTCTCTTCTAGGCTTTTTAGTGCAATTTTAGAACAAGCAACCAAAGCTGATGGGGCCAATGCTCTAGGAGGGAAAGGAGCTGGATTCGATGTGAAGGCGCTGAGGGCTTTCCGCGTGCTTCGTCCCCTGCGGCTGGTGTCTGGAGTCCCAAGTAAGTAAAGCCCCACAACTCTCAACAGTGTTCTTTTCATAACTGCCCTCTTCCCTTTGCTGAACTGCCAGGAGCACTTTGTGAAGGAACCTGGTTTCTATGAATGGAAAGTTTTCTTACAGACAAATCTCTGTTTTAAAATTGAAGTTCTGGTGCAAATGCACAAAACACATGAGGAGGCCCAGCTTCTGTAGAAACCCTGAGAATACGTCCACTAGTCACACAGCCAAAGAAGACAGCCTGCATAGAGACAGGGCTCCTCAGGCCATGTGCATCTTGCATGCCAAGATAAGAATAAACACATTTACAGCAGAGGAGCCTGGGCCAAAGAAGGCTAACCCCTAGTCTGCCTTAGCTCATGAGATTAATTCTGCTCTCTGTATTTTCCAAAAGAAGGTTAAGAAAGCATCACTGGACTTCTGAAAGCTCAGTCCCCAGCCATTTCCTCTTTTCACATTCATGGGGCATCCTCAGCTGCACACAGAGACCTGATACCTGCCATCCAGAAAACAGGTTTCTGCCAGGGAGAGACTTGCTGCCCTCCAAGATATCATCCTCATGGACCCTCCCTCTGAGCTCAGGAGCTTCGGGCACCTCTTGGCTGCAGCAACGCCTGAGCAACCTGCTCTGGGGAAGCAGCCTTTGTACAATAGAGTCTATAGAGTTCTTTTCTCTCATCCTGTTCAGTCTGTGAATCAGGAAAGAAATCTGGGTTTGTTGGCTGAGATTGTATGTCTCAGGTCAGTACACCAGCCTGAGAAACAGGGAAACAGACTGTCTTTTGAGAAATAGCCCTCCTATCTGCTCTATACTAAGAACCTGAGTGCATTCTTGGTGTTGATAACATCTTAGATTCATAAAGCCCAGGAAACTGCCTGTGGCTCTCCCCTTCTAGTATGTGTGTAGAATGGGAGGGGGAACTTAATTAACTAGTAGCAGAGTCAGGGCTAGACCTGGTCTCCCAACTGCCCTTTCTGCTGTACCACATCATCTTTGAAGAATTCAAGCTATCGTTCTTGGTTGTCTTCGATGTTTGCATGTATTCATGTCTCTTCAACTGCAGTAACGCCCAGAGTTATGCCCTTTATTCTCCATGATCTCTGTTCAGTGGTTAGACTTATGTCTAGCCCAGGTGGGGGAACTTGCTGAGTAGGCAAAAGCAGGAAGTGGTGCCTTGTTTAGGGTGCTCCTATTACTGCGATCAACTACCGTGACCAAAAGCAAGTTGTGGATGAAAGGGTTTATTTTAGCTTACAACTCTCAGGTCACACTCTCAGTGGTGGAAGTCAGAACAGGAACTTAGGGGCAGGAACTAAAGCAGAAGCCGCAGGGAATACTGCTTACTGGCTTGCTGCTCATGACTTGCTCAACCTGCTTTCTTATACAACTCAGGACCACATACCCAGGGCTAGCACATCCCATGGACACACCCACGTCAATCATTGATCATGAAACTGCTCCACAGACTCACTTTTGGGCAATTAGATGGAAACATTTCCCCATCAAGGTTTTTCTTCCCAGATGACTCTAGCTTGAGTCAAGGTAACAAGCCAGAGAAGGACAGTGGTTGTTCACTTGCCCTGGAGACTCTTGGGGCAGAGGTTATAGAGCATCTCAGACTGAAAAGTAACACAGCTAAGCCTCTCGCACACAAATAAAACTGCTATTATCTACTTGACCTCAACCATTTCATGTTATTTATGGTTTATATGATGGCCAACACCACTTTTGTAATACCTAATGACTTAGTGTTCTTGATTATTCCTTCATAACTCCATAGAGTGGCATTGGGGAGTTAGATGGGAGGCAGGAGTAACTGTCAACACAACATTAAAGGAGATTTTGGAAATACAGCCAGTGTGCAAGAGAGAGGAACTGTGAGCTAATCCTAGACTTCTACCACAAAGTTACCATAGAAAGGCTGAACTCTCACCCTGTTACTTACGTATTCATTAGGGGCTTGGGATCTTACCGAATTGTGAGGGATGTCAGGGCCTATTGCCCTGGAGGAAAGGGGCAGTGCAGGGAAAGAGCACATCACTCGGCCTTTGCCACAAGAACAGGTGATCCCAAGTGCCACATAACCTGCAAGTGGACACAGAATATCTGGTTCACAATGCATGATGGAGAGGAATAGCTATAGCCTTCTGGCCTGAGCATCTCTCTGGGATAGACAGACTCCACATGGTGTCCAATTCCAGAGCCTCAGCTTCAGCAGCAGTGACCTGCTGTCTTCATGGAAGAAGCAGACCATTGGAGAAGATGGCCTGGAGTTAGAACACAAATAGTCCCAGGCTGTGCTTGCTCGCATTCCATTGGCCAAAGCAGCTCATATAACTAACCTCAAAGATGATGAGACAGAAGTGTGTAGTCGGCCTTCCACATTATGGCCCCTCATCAGAGATTTCAATCAACTGCTGATTTGGTGAATCACAAATACACAGAGAATGGCTCTTCTCTGAGCTTCAAGAAAGTGCTTGGCCCGACCTTTTATGCTGTCTTAGTTTCTGTTCAGTATTTGAAACAGTGAAATATGAGGTCACAATGACCACGTGCAGTGGATTAACACCACCCCATTTTCTCAAAGCCTTAGCAAAACTCTTTGTCTCAGTTTGTGTTTCTATTCATGCAATGAAACACTGACCAAAATTAAGTTGGGAAGGAAAGGGTTTGTTTGGCTTACACTTGCATATTGCTGTTCATCATTGAAGGAAGTCAAATAAATCAAGAACCTGGAGGCAGGAGCTGATACAAAGAACATGGAGGGGAGCTGCTTACTGGCTTGCTCAGCCTGCCTTCTTATAGAGCCCAGGGCCAGCCCAGGACAGCTCCATCCATAATGGGCTGGGCCCTCCTCCACTAATCACTAATTAGTAAAATACCCTTACAGCTGGATCTTATGGAGGCATTTTCTCAACTGAGGTTCCCTCCTTTCGGATAAGTCTAGCTTACATCAAGTTGACATAAGCTAGCCGGCACACTCTTCATTGGAGTCGCCTTTCCAAGCTGTCACCACTTCTTATTCTCCCACTGTGCTACACACACTCACCCAGGCTTTCTCCTCCCCTTACAGTAGTGACTCCAAGGTCCTCTTCTCTGGTCCATTAGCCTTTATCTCTCTGTGCACTGGGTAGTTCTGCATAGCTGACCTTCCTTTGTCCTTGAGCCTCTCATCACTTGGCATCTAAGACACTATTCTCTCCTAGTCCTGCTCTTGTTTTTCTTGCAATTCTTTGTGGTTTCTCATTTTCACCCTTTGTATCACTGGAATGCTCCTGGTGCAATCTTTGTGCCTCTTCTCCATCTGCACTCATTCCCCAGTTGTCCTGTATTATCCAGGTTCATAGTATCAAATATCACACACCCAATTGCAGCTCCATTTCTCTCATCAGATGTCCAGTGAGCATCACAAATGACCACACCCCAGCTCCCAGATTCTTTCTCACCTTAGTAGATGTTAACACACTTTCCAGCTTTGCTTTTGGGGTAAAACATCTCTGACTTACTTCTGTTTTTTTGGTTTTTTTTTTTCATTCTTTGTATCAAATCCACCAGAAGATTCTATCAACTCTACCTTCAAAATATGTGAAGAGTGTTTCTTGTTGTCTTCACATTCTCTTCCTTTCCTGCCACCATCATCTCTTATCTGGACAGAATTCTCTGCCTCCACCTATATCCTTCATCAAAGTGTATTAGTTAGGGTGTGAGTGTGTGTGTGTGTGTTTATATTAGAGTGGTCTTTAGGCTGTGGTCCAAATAGTACAACAATATCTGTCTCCTGATAGAAAGGCCAAGGATCTACATTTAGGGTGAGTCTTCCACCTCAAATAATACAACCGAGAAAAATGTCCCTTGGTTGTACCCAGCTGCTTAAGTTTTAGTTCATTCCAGATATAGCAAGATGGACAGCCAATATTTGCTATCACATAGAGCCTAAGCTGGATGCAGTAGACTATATGGCTCTCTTGAAATTTAAGCCATACCATGTCCTTGCCCACTAAGAACCCTCCAAGGCTTCCCTAAGCCACCCAAAGTAGAAGTTGGAATCCATGTTGTCTCACCTCCCTCTACCCTTCCCCAAACTCCTGGTTTCACCAGCCTTCCTGCCATCCCTGTAGAACCCTGAACTCTCTGCCAAGACAGGTACAATTACCTCTTCCAGCTGTGGCCTTGACTCACATGCCTGCTCACCTCCTCTAATCTCTGCCAATATATCATCTCCTTCTATCTTATCACTGACACCCTGTGTCGAGCGTTATCTTTAACTTCTGTGTCCCATAGCAAATTATTGTCTTAAGTGTCTCACATCACTTGCCACTTTTCCCATGCCAATTATGATTTCATTCATTTGTTATCTAAAATGGGAAATTACCAATACGGAGTCAGGTAGAAATATAAGGGATTTTAATAGGGAAAAAGCCTTACTTACAGAGCAACCTAGCCAGCCGGCGCGGCAGCAGCCTGTACAGCAAGCTGAAAGGGTAAAACCGAAAGCAAAACCCAGCCACCTGAAACTCTCATTCTACGTCACCCTGACCACGCCCTCGCAGGCACGGTCAGGCACACCCCTAAGCGGGCAGCTTCCCCTACAGTTATCCATTATAGCCAGGGTCTCAGTTTACAGTATCTTTGTTCACAGCCATATTTTGGTATCCACAGCGGTAGATGGATGTTGTAGAAGAGCCTCCTGCTGAGTCCCATCCAGTATGGCAGATAGGACTGCCTAGCTCCCCACATGGTACAAACGCTGTGGGGCACTTACCAGTCCAGAGTCTGAACTCTGCTATTGCACTAGCTCTCCATGGAAATTGTATGAACTATAGTCATAGACGTATGTGGTATGTGATGTCTAGGGAGCAAGTTCCTTAGAAACAAAGGTTAATTCTGTGGTTTATTTAAACTTGCAACTCTGAACTCCATGGGGGAAGGGCCCCAAAAGCTGCTCATAATTTTTAAATATATGTACTGAATGTCACTGGAATGTTGATGGAAGATTATGC